TGTTGGCAACGGAGCTGTTTCCATTAATGTTGCGTTTTGACGCTTCAGTGCTCTTCCCTGTGACATTCGAACAGCTTCTTTGCAGACGGCCATATTTCCCCGACTAGTTTGCTCTCTGAACAGTTACCTTAACGTTGATGTGTTACGTGTGTCCAGCCGAAGGCGGCCGGTTTTTACAATAATCTACAGCTTTTGCCTGGGTGAGCTACGTGGAAGACATCGTCAGGTGGGGAGTTTGGCTGGGGCGGCACATCTGTTAAATGATAACACAGGTGTCCTAAGGTGAGCTCAATGAGAACAGAAATCTCATGTAGAACAAAAGGGTAAAAGCTCACTTGATTTTGATTTTCAGTATGAATACAAACCGTGAAAGCGTGGCCTATCGATCCTTTAGTTCTTTTGAATTTTAAGCTAGAGGTGTCAGAAAAGTTACCACAGGGATAACTGGCTTGTGGCAGCCAAGCGTCCATAGCGACGTTGCTTTTTGATTCTTCGATGTCGGCTCTTCCTATCATTGCGAAGTAGAACTCGCCAATTGTTGGATTGTTCACCCACTAATAGGGAACGTGAGCTGGGTTTAGACCGTCGTGAGACAGGTTAGTTTTACCCTACTGATGAGTTCGTTGTCTAAACAGTAATCCAACCCAGTACGAGAGGAACCGTTGTTCAGATAATTGTAACTGCGTTAGCTGAAAAGCTAGTGCCGCCAGCTACCATCTGTAGATATGGCTGAACGCTCTAGATCAGATCACTGCGGAAATGGAGAATAATTCACTTTCCAGATGTGGCGGCAATAGGCATGAGTGTTTCTTTGGGAACACCCAAACTTCCTAACAATGGCAAGCCCCCTCCCTCGGCCCTGGCAATAATTGGCGTTGAAAAATTAAAATTTTTTTTTATATTTTAAAAATTTGTGGGGAAAGAATTAAATCCTGTGTAGACGACTTAACTACAGAACGGGGTGTTGTAAGCATGAGAGTAGTCCTCTACTACGATCTGCTGAGATTTAGCCCTTGTTCTATTGATTTGTTCAGAAATGAACATTTCTCCCCCCAATTGCAAACGCGCAATGTTAAAACTATAAAGTTAAGCAGTCGAAATAAGGCTGCGTTAAAGTGATTTACTTTCGCTATGGGGCGGCGAAAGTAACCGGTCAAAGTGCTGGTAGAGAGTTAATACTGTTAAGCTTAAGATCGTCAAAGTCTTTGTTTTGGCTTAGTGAGGTTTGTTCGCAAAAATCGCTAAGTTGCGCTGCTATTGTTTTCCGAGCCAAATTCGGCGACCTTAGTATCGGGTTTATAACAGGCAGAAAGCGAGAAACACTTTGCGTGAAAATCGCTAAGTGCCAGCGCTAATGATTTCTGAGCCAAAATCGGAGATTTTAGTATGGGGGTTTAACAGGGCAAGCTAGACGGCAGGGCGTAAAATTAGACTTGGTTTAAGTATGTTAAAAGAGAGCGAATAGCGTGAATTAGACTTGGTTTAACTATGTTAAAGAGAGCGGAATAGCATGAATTAGACTTGGTTTAACTATGTTAAAGAGAGCGGAATAGCATAAAATAGACTTGGTTTAAGTATGTTAAAAGAGAGCGAAATAGCGTAAATTAGACTTGGTTTAACTATGTTAAAGAGAGCGGAATAGCATGAAATAGACTTGGTTTAACTATGTTAAAGAGAGCGGAATAGCATGAAATAGACTTGGTTTAAGTATGTTAAAAGAGAGCGAAATAGCGTGAATTAGACTTGGTTTAAGTATGTTAAAGAGAGCGGAATAGCATGAAATAGACTTGGTTTAACTATGTTAATAGATAGCGAAATAGCGTGAATTAGACTTGGTTTAAGTATGTTAAAGAGAGCGGAATAGCATGAAATAGACTTGGTTTAACTATGTTAAAAGAGAGCGAAATAGCATGAAATAGACTTGGTTTAAGTATGTTAAAAGAGAGCGAAATAGCGTGAATTAGACTTGGTTTAAGTATGTTAAAGAGAGCAGAATAGCGCGAATTAGACTTGGTTTAAGTATGTTAGAGAGAGCAGAGTAGCGTGAATTAGACTTAGTTTAAGTATGTTAAAGAGAGCGGAATAGCGTGAATTAAACTAGGATAAAGTATGCAAAATGAAGCTGAAGACTTTGTGAAAAAATGCGAAGTTGTTTGCTGTTCTAATTGTATGGGTTTGGAGATGTTTTTGGCTTGGATTAATAACAGGCAGGAAGCGCGAGGAAACGCAGCGAATATGGACGCGTACGCGGAAGGGGACGGCGGAGGAAGCGCGGATATGGAGGTGAAAATGGTGAAGGTGATGGCGCGAGGAAGGTGACGGCGCATGGGTGTGAATATGGAGGTGATGAAAGGTGACGGGAGGAAACGCATGATGTATATGGCCCGGTTGGGGCGCACCTCATTCGAGAACGCGCTTCTTTTTTTTTACGATGGCCAAACGCGAGTTGATGGGTTTATTTCTTTCTCTGTCTTATTTTGTGTTATTTTTTTGTTTGTGCCTTGTGTTTGTTTATTTTTTTTGTTTCTATTTTGGGGGTTTAACACTGGCCCCCTGCGTTAATATTTTATTTTTTTTATTTTTTTT